GATTTTGATTGCTAAACTTTAGCGTAAGATAATGATTTCGGTAGCTAAACTTTAGCGTAAGATAATGATTTTGATTGCTGAAATTTAGCGTAAGATAATGATTTTGATTGCTAAACTGTAGCGTTAGATAATGATTTTGATTGCTAAACTTTAGCGTAAGATAATGATTTCGGTAGCTAAACTTTAGCGTAAGATAATGATTTTGATTGCTGAAATTTAGCGTAAGATAATTATTTTGATTGCTAAACTGATGTGTAAGATAATGATTTTGATTGCTAAACTGTAGCGTAAGATAATGATTTTGATTGCTGAACTTTAGCGTAAGATAATGATTTTGATTGCTAAACTTTAGCGTAAGATAATGATTTTGATTGCTGAACTTTAGCGTGAGATAATGATTTTGATTGCTGAAATTTAGCGTAAGATAATTATTTTGATTGCTAAACTGATGTGTAAGATAATGATTTTGATTGCTAAACTTTAGCGAAAGATAATGATTTTGATTGCTGAACTTTAGCGTAAGATAATGATTTTGATTGCTAAACTTTAGCGAAAGATAATGATTTTGATTGCTGAACTTTAGCGTAAGATAATGATTTTGATTGCTGAAATTTAGCGTAAGATAATGATTTTGATTGCTAAACTGTAGCGTTAGATAATGATTTTGATTGCTAAACTTTAGCGTAAGATAATGATTTTGATTGCTGAACTTTAGCGTAAGATAATGATTTTGATTGCTAAACTTTAGCGAAAGATAATGATTTTGATTGCTGAACTTTAGCGTAAGATAATGATTTTGATTGCTGAAATTTAGCGTAAGATAATGATTTTGATTGCTAAACTGTAGCGTTAGATAATGATTTTGATTGCTAAACTTTAGCGTAAGATAATGATTTCGGTAGCTAAACTTTAGCGTAAGATAAAGATTTTGATTGCTGAAATTTAGCGTAAGATAATGATTTTGATTGCTGAAATTTAGCGTAAGATAATGATTTTGATTGCTGAACTTTAGCGTGAGATAATGATTTCGGTAGCTAAACTGTAGCGTAAGATAATGATTTTGATTGCTGAACTTTAGCGTAAGATAATGATTTTGATTGCTGAAATTTAGCGTAAGATAATGATTTTGATTGCTGAAATTTAGCGTAAGATAATGATTTTGATTGCTGAACTTTAGCGTGAGATAATGATTTCGGTAGCTAAACTGTAGCGTAAGATAATGATTTCGGTAGCTAAACTGTAGCGTAAGATAATGATTTTGATTGCTGAACTTTAGCGTAAGATAATGATTTTGATTGCTAAACTGTAGCGTAAGATAATGATTTTGATTGCTAAACTGTAGCGTTAGATAATGATTTTGATTGCTAAACTGTAGCGTTAGATAATGATTTTGATTGCTAAACTTTAGCGTAAGATAATTATTTTGATTGCTAAACTGATGTGTAAGATAATGATTTCGGTAGCTAAACTTTAGCGTAAGATAATGATTTTGATTGCTGAAATTTAGCGTAAGATAATGATTTTGATTGCTGAACTTTAGCGTAAGATAATGATTTCGGTAGCTAAACTTTAGCGTAAGATAATGATTTTGGTAGCTGAACTTTAGCGTAAGATAATGATTTTGGTAGCTGAACTTTAGCGTAAGATAATGGTTTTGGTTGATAAACTTTAGCGTAAGATAATGATTTTGGTAGCTAAACTTTAGCGTAAGATAATGATTTTGGTAGCTAAACTTTAGCGTGAGATAATGATTTCGGTAGCTAAACTTTAGCGTGAGATAATGATTTCGGTAGCTAAACTTTAGCGTGAGATAATGATTTTGGTAGCTGAAATTTAGCGTGAGATAATAATTTCGGTAGCTAAACTTTAGCGTGAGATAGAGATTTTGGTAGCTAAACTTTAGCGTGAGATAATGATTTTGGTAGTTAAACTTTAGCGTGAGATAATGATTTTGGTTGTTAACTTTAGTGTAAGATAAAGTTTTGGTTGCTAAACTGTTGTATAAGATAATGATTTGGGTTGCTAAACTTTAGCGTAAGATAGTGATTTTGGTGGCTGAACTCTAGCGTAAGATAATTCTTTTGGTTGCTAAACTCTAGCGTGAGATAATTATTTTGGTTGCTTAACTTTAGCGTAAGATGAAGTTTTGGTTGCTAAACTGTTTATAAGATAATAAGTTTGGTTGCTGAACTCTGGTGTAAGATAATTATTTTGATAATTACAATTGTTGACAAAATATTTACCGAGTAGCAGAATTCGATTAGGATAGCGAACTTCGTTAAAATGTTTAACGAATCATTACAACTGAAAATATGGACATCTGCCGAGTATAAATGTTCTGCACGGCGTACAATCTGGAAAGCGATGAGTTGGGGATGCGATAACATCGTCTGATTTGGCATTTTGTGTTAAAATATTCTTTATATCTACAAACATTTTTGCCATTCGCAAAACTTATTTTTACTTTTTTAAAATTTACATAACATTTATAAAGGATGCTACTTTAAAAAAACAACAAAAAACATGTTAAAGTGATGCTATCAAAAAGTTTCTAATCTTTTAAATGATAACCGTATCTGTTTTGCCGGCATTTAGAGATATCAGACTTAATAAACACGTCCATTACTGTTTGATGGCAAACTGAAGGAACGACATCAAAGATAGACCAGTTCGTACAACAATCTTCGTGAACTGTTGACATGTTTGCAGTACGATATCCCATCTTTACGATTTGTAACTTAAACAATATAGAATATCTGTAAATTGCTTATTCTTTTTTGCAAAATATATCTTTATATTATATAAACTCGACTCAAAGAAATGTTTTAAAGATGTCAGTGTTGCAAAATGTAAAGATAAGTTCTAGCCCGTATTTCAAACAGAAACGAAAAAAATATCTTCTTTCTTTTTTCATTTCTTTCTTCCTCTTTCTTTTACGATACCACATTTTAATGTTAACTCCACTTTTTATGATGCCAAAAACATATTTTGCGTTTCTGTTGGATAAACGTCTCAATTTTATAGTAATGTTCCGGCTCTGACTTGTCATCATCATCGTCGTCGTCGTCGCCGCCGCCTTCTCCGTCCTCAAAACATTAACTTCAAACAAATCTATATAAGTATATTTATACATATAAGTCTATAATCAAGGACATTTTGTAGTTATACGTTTCTTTACCAGTGTAGAACCGCGATAACACCTATTCTAAAATACGCGTATAAGGACATCTATCGACGGAACACTCCTGCGTACAGTCACCTACCGTTAACGGCTATATTTACATCTCTACACCAATCAACCTCAGCCCCGAAACATTTTGAATGAATGTATCAAGTTTTTGTAAACAGAAGCATGTTTGTCAATAGAAGTTTGTACCGATTGAATCCAATTAGCTATCTCACCAGCTGACGAGTTTAGTTGCCTTTGGAATGCCTTTTCTGTGAAGCTGGACCAGATTCTGATCGACTTCTGACCACCAAAGGCACAATGTTTTATGTCAGCTGACGGAAATATCCATTTATTGACGTAACGTATTACAATATGATGACGTCATATTTCCTTATCCTTATGGCACCATGATTTTTTAATGGATTTTGTTGTTTCATTAACGACCTGGTTTAGTGCTAGGGAAATGTCAATGGGTACACATTAACGGGTAGTCAACGTATATAGCGTATGCTTATAAAGATTTACAGGTTTAATAGCCCCGATCAGTTGATTTACTGGAAGGAATTTTGAACAAACAAACAAAAACACAACCCCAAAATATTTTTCATCACATACCTAATAAAAGTCTGGCAGGTTCTAAAGGAAAAAATATTTCGAGATAACGAATTCACGGGGCAGCCATTTTGTTGCACCATTTTCATTTCATGACGTAACATCATTATGTATTATGACATCACAATGATTTTTCACTGACGCAGCCAATGAAAAACGCTTCAGGGTATATTATTCTAGTGACATATACTTAAAGATATTAATAGACAAATTGATTTGATATCAGACGGATTATGTGATCAAAAAACAGTTATGTTAGTATTAGTATTACATGTTGATGTATATATAAACAATGACGTCACTGCCGTCCCGGCTATTTCTATTTCGGTTGGTTGGACGGCGCAGTGGTTAACACACTCGTCTTTTACCTGGTGCTGATTGACGTGTTCCTCATGTAACACATTGCCACGAGTCTAGTGTTGAAATAAAATCCCTGGGTTCGATTTACCGACCGGACATGAAATTGTATGGGTTCACCTATACTCTGGTTCCCTCCTTAGCTGAAAGTTTGTCTAAATTTCAAGTTCAAACCAATTTCTTTATTCTGTACCTCTTACAGCGTATAAAGTTCAACAACAATTACAAAGTTAGAATGATATGTAATTCGATAGCGGAGGAACACATTCTTAAACCTCATTTCACAGTTGTTATTATATAAATTTAAGACTTTTCTGTATTATATTTTTTTACTTTATCTATCTCCTTGTATTTGTGATTCTGTTTCACAAGTCAGTGTGTGCTGATATCTAACTATCCGTACTATTTCCCTCAGTACAAGTCCATTTAAATACCTCTGGGTGTAAACAACATCAGATAAAATATACCACCCCTTCTAAGCCTACTTCAACAGAGGTAAACTATTGAGTAACTAAAAGTCATTTAGTATCGTTACTCCAGGAACTCCTTAATCACTAGTCTCTATCAACGAAGTCACTGTTATCCTTCCATCGCAGTGACTACAGCGGTTGCGGAGGGGGAGGTTACACACTTACGAGAGATACTGGAGGGGCCATAACGTAAATGTATTACCAGGAGAGTTGGAGTAGGAAACCACAAGTTTCCGCGTTTCTCGTTGGATACGGCGAAAATTCGTGGGATAAATAACCTTATATATATCAGATTGTGTTTACAGTGCATTTATATGTTTACTTTTCACGTTTGAATTGTTATATTTCCACACGATAGATCCTAGTATATAACAGCTCTCGTCATCATCAATATGCCGCCGGAAGATTGTGAAAACAAAAGGTAGGTGTTGTTTATTTTTTTATTTGCACCCTTTAATGCGAAGTTTATCGTGATTTCAGTAAAACGTATACGATATCACCTATAGACTTGCTTACTGTATACTAAAATATTTATTGTTAAGTAGCAATGTACGGATGTATACATCACACAGGATAAAATGTTACTAAAGTTTTACAAATATCAATAAATAAATAAACAATTGCATTTGATGCTAGAATTTGTAAATGACAATTTATATATGTATATACGATCTGAGACTTTTCCATTGAATATTACATACAACGTACCACGACCCAAACACTACTCGGATAGAAAACTATTTCGTCAAGATACATAGTATAATCATGATTATTTTAACATCTATGTTGTTTGTTGAAGCTGTAGTATTTACATGAAAACATTGAAACAACAACATGCTTCCATTGACCTGAGACAATAGTTAAAATCATTTTTTTCATTCATGAAGTTAGCAGCACATTAAATACCATACCGCACATTGAATACTTAAACTGCACATTTTGATGTACCTAACCCACAATGAAAATGCTGAATTATGACACGAAATAGCCAGACTGAATATTGAAGTACCACACGGCACATTGTATATTTTTGAAGCTGTACTATCTTTAGATTTGTTTTTCGTGATTTATTTTTAATTATTTCTAATTATTTTACAAAAAAAAGTGAATATTCTTTTAAGAATACGTTTGCACGTTTATCAACCAATGCCTATATCGAGTCTATTATCAGTCACATAGTATATTATAATAAAACGTTTGCAGAAAGTCGCATACCTTGGCAATTCAGACGTAACGCGGCGAAAGGTTGACGTTATGGGGCCGTTCTAAGATAGCGTGGAAGCTAGACAAACGTTTTAGCTGTTACAGATGCGATCTACTTAGAGATGTGATGTAGACACGCCGGAAGGAGGGGGATCTGATAAGGATACCGCTCTTTGACAGGCTAAATAAAACGGTAGTTAGCAGAGATAATCTTTTCACCACGTTCAGTATTGTACCATTAAATTGTAGCATCCTTGAAACCGTTCATATACAAACTCTATACATACTCCATTCATACTCTATACATACTCCATTCATACTGTATACATACTCCATTCATACTCTATACAGTACTCTATACATACTCTATACATACTCCATTCATACTCTATACAGTACTCTATACATACTCCATTCATACTCTATACATACTCCATTCATACTGTATACATACTCCATTCATACTCCATTCATACTCTATACATACTCCATTCATACTCTATACATACTCCATTCATACTGTATACATACTCCATTCATACTGTATACATACTCCATTCATACTCTATACATACTCCATTCATACTCTATACACACTCCATTCATACTGTATACATACTCCATTCATACTGTATACATACTCCATTCATACTCTATACATACTCCATTCATATTCTATACACACTCCATTCATACTGTATACATACTCCATTCATACTGTATACATACTCCATTCATACTCTATACAGTACTCTATACATACTCTATACATACTCCATTCATACTCTATACAGTACTCTATACATACTCCATTCATACTCTATACATACTCCATTCATACTCCATTCATACTCCATTCATACTCCATTCATACTGTATACATACTCCATTCATACTGTATACATACTCCATTCATACTCTATACATACTCCATTCATACTCTATACACACTCCATTCATACTGTATACATACTCCATTCATACTGTATACATACTCCATTCATACTCTATACATACTCCATTCATACTCTATACATACTCCATTCATACTGTATACATACTCCATTCATACTCCATTCATACTCCTCATACTCATACTACCATTCATACTGTATACATACTCCATTCATACTCTATACAGTACTCTATACATACTCCATTCATACTGTATACATACTCCATTCATACTCTACACATACTCCATTCATACTCTATACACACTCCATTCATACTGTATACATACTCCATTCATACTCTATACATACTCCATTCATACTGTATACATACTCCATTCATACTCCATTCATACTCTATACATACTCCATTCATACTCTATACATACTCGATTCATACTGTATACATACTCCATTCATACTCTATACAGTACTCTATACATACTCCATTCATACTCTATACATACTCCATTCATACTCTATACATACTACATACTGTATACATACTCCATTCATACTCTATACATTACACTATACATACTCTATACATCCTCCATTCATACTCTATACAGTACTCTATACATACTCCATTTATACTCTATACATACTCCATTCATACTCCATTCATACTCCATTCATACTGTATACATACTCCATTCATACTGTATACATACTCCATTCATACTCTATACATACTCCATTCATACTCTATACACACTCCATTCATACTGTATACATACTCCATTCATACTGTATACATACTCCATTCATACTCTATACATACTCCATTCATACTCTATACATACTCCATTCATACTGTATACATACTCCATTCATACTCCATTCATACTCTATACATACTCCATTCATACTCTATACATACTCGATTCATACTGTATACATACTCCATTCATACTCTATACAGTACTCTATACATACTCCATTCATACTCTATACATACTCCATTCATACTCTATACATACTCCATTCATACTGTATACATACTCCATTCACACTCTATACAGTACTCTATACATACTCCATTCATACTCTCTACAGTACTCTATACATACTCCATTCATACTCTATACATACTCCATTCATACTCTATACATACTCCATTCATACTCTATACAGTACTCCATTCATACTCTATACATACTTCATTCATACTCTATACAGTACTCTATACAGTACTCCATTCATACTCTATACAGTACTCCATTCATACTCTATACATACTTCATTCATACTCTATACAGTACTCTATACATACTCCATTCATACTCTATACAGTACTATATACATACTCTATACATACGCCATACATATTCTTTACAATGTTCTATACATACTCTAAACATACTCTATACGGTACTATATACAAATTCTATACGATACTCAGTACATATTCTATACGATACTCCGTACAAATTCTATACGATACTCCGTACATATTCTATACGATACTCCGTACAAATTCTATACGATACTCCGTACAAATTCTATACGATACTCCGTACAAATTCTATACGATACTCCGTACATATTCTATACGATACTCCGTACAAATTCTATACGATACTCCGTACATATTCTATATATACTCCGTACAAATTCTATACGATACTCCGTACATATTCTATACGATACTCCGTACATATTCTATACGATACTCCGTACAAATTCTATACGATACTCCGTACATATTCTATACGATACTCCGTACAAATTCTATACGATACTCCGTACATATTCTATACGATACTCCGTACATATTCTATACGATACTCCGTACATATTCTATACGATACTCCGTACATATTCTATACGATACTCCGTACATATTCTATATATACTCAGTTGTTGGACGTTTCCATATTTCTAACCTAAGTAAATCATGAAAGTTTCTGAACTTTCTAGCTGACCTGTTCGACGAGTTTTTGAGTTGATGTAAGTCACCTGGCGCCGACGTTTACCTTGTCGTTTTTAAATGGTGAAATAGCGATAAACTGGAATTCGTCGGACCATTTCGGCGAGTTTACCTTTTACTCATTTCATCTCAGCATTGTACTTCATGTTACAGTATTTCATCACGTGTAGATACGGTAGAAGACAATGTGGTTAGAGATATCTATAGAGGTTAGATTTCGTAACTTTATCACCAGTTAAGATGACCCCGTATAGAAATAAAAGAAAACATTCACACTAGGAATTAACACTTCTCCGGATTGTATTTCGTAGTGTTGAAAAAAGTCGTGTAAGGCAAGACTGTGTAATTCAGTAGAAGTATTTACAGAAATCTTATCATCGATCAGTGAGAACATCCCTTGATTTTTATCCATGAATTGACCGCGGGGTTACCGCATCCTTGATACTCAAGCGGTTGCGATCACCTTCGGTCTCTGTACCCCTGGAACATATCATGACAAAAATGAAGGCACAAGCGAAGTAATTTGATTGGTTCAAGGAGAAAAAATCCAACAACAGGTTGATGCGCCCCTTTTGAAGATAACAAAGGAGCAACACCAAACATCAAAGCCACTACAATATACCGTTATGCTACCTCGAGATTCGTTTGCTGTGCATCAAAGGGTCAATCTAATCTTGACCACAAGGTGTCGCACATTGGCGAGTTAACCCCTGGGGTGCCAAGGTGGGTTTCCGTTCCTTTGTGAAATAAAGATGTAGAGTCCTTAAACGCCGTCGAATGGAATAGAGACAATAAAATATTTAAATAGTAAACAAGTCTTTAGACCTGTATTTCTAATGCTTTATACTACATTTCAATCAAAGAATAATTAATGATCCTTAGCGCATGAGTGGAAGTTTTTATATTTCAGTACTGAGCTGTTTTCCCGCTTATTAAATCATAGCATTGATTAAAGTCGCTTAATATGAAAAACATTTTGTAAAAAGCAATATGCAATAAATTTGTATTTTCTAAAAATCATTTTTGTTCTTCCTTGGAAATATATTTTCATTATCACACAATGCTGTCATATCTGTGTTTCCAGTAATTTTATTGCAATATTCTTTTAAAATATAAACAAAGTCGGGATATTTTTGGCTTCGTAAAATGGGAAATCTCTGCTACTGATAAAGATTCACTCATACAAATTACACTATTATCACTAAGGATGATGTTCAGGTTTTTGATGCATACTATATCTCGCGAGGCAAGACAGATAACATATAAATTTTAAATAGTGTAACTTTCTTCAAAGTTTTTATATGATTAAAACCTGTTTTCGTGTATCGAGAT